TATTGTCTTTCTCTACAGATAATTTCTGAGAAATTTTTACACACACACACACACACACACACATATATATATATATATATATATATATAAGCCAAGGTAAACTAATTAATGTTTCCTGGCTCGGAATGATGTATCGGGGAGTAGACTTCGAATTCCAGTCGAGTTCATTCCATCCTTAGTTGTTATTATTCTTGGGAAATTTATGAATCTATCTCCTCCCTCTAACTATGGGTAAAATAGCAGGAAAGTGTTCCCTATCGCCTTGGTTGCCAACCAGTCTTTAAACAGTGTAATCAATGATCGTCGCCATTGAAAATTATTTTTCTTAACAAAGGGATATATTTTCTTGAATAAGACTCTCTGATATCTAAGCCGATGGACATTAATTTCACCGTTTAAAAAATGTTATATCCGCAGAAATTCGTGTATCCACTAATATAACATGTATAGAAATATAAACATCGAATTAAAATCCATGGGGTACGGTGTTTACGTTTCGGATACAAAAACAATAACTATTTACACTGTCCATACTGTTGTCCTCATCTTTATTATAATGTTCACGAAGTTTCTACTGTTTTACGCTCCGACTTTCTTCAGGATCTGTCTGTATTTCTGGGATGAGATTTTTTACCTATTTACACTATTTACACTGTTCGGGCTGTTGTCCTCATCTTTATATTCATATTCACGACGTTTTGGCCGTTGTACGCTCCGACCTTCTTCAGGTGATATATGATGGAATTTCAAACCGAGTCCTTTATTTAGCCCAATGAGGGTAGATTGTTCTAGTTCCACCTGACATGCCTTTTCTGGATATCTCATTTTCAGTTAATTTCTTTTAATAACTCATCTCTCATTTTTTTTTTTTAGTCTCTGTTGCAGCCAGGTATTAAACATTTAACTCTTTGGGTCAAGTTACTGGATGACTTTAACCAACGCTTTTATCTGCTGGGCAGTGCGTCCTGGGGGTGCGTACACACGGACAAAAGGTCGTGAATATGAAAATAAAGATGAAGGGAACAGTCCGAACAATGTAAACGGTTACAATAACTCATCTCAGAAATATAGAAAGATCCTAAAGAAGGCTGGTGCGTACAACGACTGAAACGTCGTTAATATGACAATAAACTCGGAGAAAATAGTCAGAACAATGTAAATATTTTAAAGAGTGACAATACTTCATTCAGAAATATAAACAGTTCATGAAGAACGCCGGTGCGTACAACGGCTGAAACGACGTGAATATGCCAATAAAGATGAAGAGTCGGAACAACGTAAATAGTGTAAATATTTAAAATTTTAATTTCAGAAATATAGAGATCCTGAAGAAGACCGGAGCGTACAACGGCCGAAACGTCGTGAATATGACAATAAAGATGAGGACAACAGTCCGAACAATGTAAATAGTGTAAATATTTAAAATTTTAATTTCAGAATATATAAACAGATCCTGAAGAAGGCCGGAGCGTACAACGGCCGAAATGTCGTGAATATGACAATAAAGATGAGGACAACAGTCCGAACAATGTAAATAGTGTAAATATTTAAAATTTTAATTTCAGAATATATAGACAGATCCTGAAGAAGGCCGGAGCATACAACGGCCGAAACGTCGTGAATATGACAATAAAGATGAGGACAGCAGTCCGAACAATGTAAATAGTGTAAATATTTAAAATTTTAATTTCAGAAATATAGACAGATCCAGAAGAAGGCCGGAGCGTACAACGGCCGAAACGTCGTGAATATGGAAATAAAGATGTGAACAACAGTCCGAACAATGTAAATAGTGTAAATATTTAAAATTTTAATTTCAGAAATATAGACAGATCCTGAAGAAGGCCGGAGCGTACAACGGCCGAAACGTCGTGAATATGACAATAAAGATGAGGACAACAGTCCGAACAATGTAAATAGTGTAAATATTTAAAATTTTAATTTCAGAAATATAGACAGATCTTGAAGAAGGCCGGAGCGTACAACGGCCGAAACGTCGTGAATATGGAAATAAAGATGTGAACAACAGTCCGAACAATGTAAATAGTGTAAATATTTAAAATTTTAATTTCAGAAATATAGACAGATCCTGAAGAAGGCCGGAGCGTACAACGGCCGAAATGTCGTGAATATGACAATAAAGATGTGAACAACAGTCCGAACAATGTAAATAGTGTAAATATTTAAAATTTTAATTTCAGAATATATAGACAGATCCTGAAGAAGGCCGGAGCGTACAACGGCCGAAATGTCGTGAATATGACAATAAAGATGAGGACAACAGTCCGAACAATGTAAATAGTGTAAATATTTAAAATTTTAATTTCAGAAATATAGACAGATCTTGAAGAAGGCCGGAGCGTACAACGGCCGAAACGTCGTGAATATGGAAATAAAGATGTGAACAACAGTCCGAACAATGTAAACAGTGTAAATATTTAAAATTTTAATTTCAGAAATATAGACAGATCTTGAAGAAGGCCGGAGCGTACAACGGCCGAAACGTCGTGAATATGGAAATAAAGATGTGAACAACAGTCCGAACAATGTAAATAGTGTAAATATTTAAAATTTTAATTTCAGAATATATAGACAGATCCTGAAGAAGGCCGGAGCGTACAACGGCCGAAATGTCGTGAATATGACAATAAAGATGAGGACAACAGTCCGAACAATGTAAATAGTGTAAATATTTAAAATTTTAATTTCAGAAATATAGACAGATCCTGAAGAAGGCCGGAGCGTACAGCGGCCGAAACATCGTGAATATGACAATAAAAAAAATAACAGATATATAATCGGAAAACCTAAGGTGATATCTGAATTGCATAACAGCGTTAAAGAAGCGTTGATTAGTTATGCAGGTCTCCGTGACCGAGTGGTTAAAGCACACCTTAATTTTGCAGGATAAGAGAATGCTGGTTCAATCTATGTTGTAAGGTTTGTTTCTTTGTGCCGTGTCCCTTTAGACCGTCAGAAATTATCATTCTCCACAACTTCCTTTTCTTCGTAACACTTAGCAATATTTGTAATTTTACTCCCAATTCCTGTGCAGTCATCTATTACATGTTCTATGCGCGGTGTCTGTTGGGGATCATAGCTCTCCACAATTTCCTGATGGCTCTTTCTGGTCAGAGTGACTATTGTAAATCTCCATCAATGTTTGAAATATATATTTTATGATATATGCACATTTAATTGGGATTTTGAAATAATAATAATCTTGAAAATGCTTTTTGATATTAGGAAAGGTTTAATTCTTTGCTCATATACTCCAACACAGATCCATAACAACGATTCTGTGGTTGTTTCAAGCGATTATCGTGTGGGAAAAACAAAAGAACCACAATTCTTCACAATAGGCCTGACCGACAAAAACAACTTGCTAACCACTCATCGTCATTGAAAACCATTCTCTTGAAAAGTCAAAAAAAAAAAAAAAAGAAGGTCGCTATTACAAGATACCAATCAACTGAGGAATATTGCACGGTCGTCCTTGAACCTGGCGACGTAATCTTTCTATTGTTCCAGACGACATTCTCTGAGTCAGATCTGACTATACATTCTCTGATTTTCGATTCTTTCTGTGCAGACACAACTCTTCGACAGTTCTTTGACATTTCCAAGATAGAAGCAAAAGGGTAAAAAAAAAAAAATATATACACCTAATCATGCCTAACTACACTCTATACTACTTCAATGGCCGGGGCCGTGCCGAAATTCTGCGCATGATGTTCGCCGCTGCCGGCGTTCCTTTTGTGGACAAGAGATTTGAATTTTCCGAGTGGGATAGTTATAGAAATGGTAAGTTTTTTTTTTGTTTTGTTTTTTTTTTTAAATTATATTTTATCTACTTGAAAACAATCGACAAAATAAAACGCGGAAAATTATCTCTCTTGAGTAATGATGGCTGCAACCTCGTTGTCGAGAAAAGCCATTACTTTAAGATTTGTTTGTCCCTTAAACGAATATTTTAAAATTGGACAGATTTTAAAACCCTTGCCAGGAAGTTGGTAGATATCAGACACCCACATTTTGTTTTCATCAGATATATTTTTGTCAATGTTTGCGTCCCTTTTCCATAAAAGTGTTAGAATTTATTATCGTTTCGTTGTTGATCTTGAGTAATATACACCGTTCACGGCTTTATACGCTGGGTGGAGGGACTTGCGCTACTTTTTTTACTGGAACTGAAAACTTAATATTGGCTTTTTCGATTTGTGTATAGTAATCCGAACTAAGCAGTGTCGAAAAAAAGTCATTCATTTTAAAAATAAGTCATAAAATTTAATTTTCCGTTATTTAAAAAAAATAAATAAAACAAAAAAAACATCTTCAAAAACACTATATAAGTTAATATTCGGAAAAAGACTATAAGTCATATCCCCAAAAATAGAATGATGGAAAACACGAAAACTATGTATTTAAAGTCAAAGTTCAGATTGTATTTGGGCCGGGGGGGGGTAGATAATAATGATTTAGCGATACAAATGTTCCTAATTAACCCACAGCTGGGTGGAGTAAAGGTGGATTCATACCTAATCAAAAGCTGATAAAAAAAAACAAGAAATTATCATATGGACATAAAAAGGGGACTAACTCTATATTACATTCAATATATAAACTGATCCCTCATTTGTGGCCACAACAGTTTCTATACATTTATATTCCACATAATGGAAATAAATGAAAAAGACATGTCTGTGTAGCTAACCAGCATTTGATTGATTGATTGATTCGTTTTCTACGGTTTATCAACCCTTTGTAGGTTATTTAAAGCCAGAAACTATTTTAGATTGTAAACATTTTTGTTTTGAGATAATAATGATTTAATGATACAAGTCGTATTAATTAACTTATAGCTGGAGGGATAAGAAGTGAATCTATACCTTTCTAGAGAATATTTGCAAGTGAGGATAACGAACCCAAGTGGAATTGGAACACGGTTCTCAGATTAAAAATCCTGAGCCATTAACCTTTACACCACCTGCACATAGAAGCTTACAGCATCTGGTATTCCCAAGCGGTCACCCGTCCAGGTATTTACTCGTCCCGAGGTTGATTAACTTCGGTAATCACACGGGAACGAGGTTTCAACATGATATGGCAGTAAGCTGGTCGTGCCAAATAACGCTGGGAATACCATGGATAGAGCATGCATTAAATTAGCAAGTTTTACGGGAAATAGAAAGCAAACGGTCACTTGAATTAGAAAGAGACAGTTGAAATTTCTGGGGTGCACCATGAGGAAAGAAGGCTTGGAAAATTTGTCACTCACAGTACATATCGGAATCAAGAGGGAAACAGTGATTAACCCATAAATATATATATATATATATATGTGTGTGTGTGTGTGTGTGTGTGTGTGTGTGTGTGTGTGTGTGTGTGTGTGTGTGTATTTATTTAGTGCATAGGAGCAGCAGATCATTATTCAAAGATATATTGTAAAATATAAAAGACAACGAATGTCTATTATGTTTGATCTGGAGCCGTTCTAAACTTAGTATAGTAGCTTTTATTTCCTGAGAAAATAAAGACAAAAAACTAGTCACAACACATTACATTGCATCTAGACATATGGTTCTGTTGTTAATATCTCGTTCTCTCACGTGGTACGACATCATTAAACCGCATCACGAATTTACAATCTATTCCGCGACGGTTATCGCTGCATAGCATAGCAGTCTTCTATGTCAAAACAATATCATCTTTGATGGTGAATATCTTTGTTTAAATGTCCACATAACCAATCTGAAGATGGCTCATGTGAGCCGAAACCTTAGATCAAGGAAAAGCATAATAAAACATAATAAAATCACTCAAATGTTAGACAATTTTTATCTTTATGTTCTCTCGAAATTAAAGCAAATATACGGAGTTTCAAACGGCACATGATCAGATATAATAGACATTCATTGTCTCTTATATTTAGCAAATATATATATATATATATATATATATATATATATATATGGTGGACTCTCCCGTCGTATCCGACGTATGAGGGTCAAGATTATAGTGGTGAAGGCATTATGCAGAACCAACCACACTTTTGAGGATCGAATACAGTGACCTGGTGCATTACTATATATATATATATATGTGTGTGTGTGTGTGTGTGTGTGTGTGTGTGTGTGTGTGTGTGAAAAGTGTGTGTATATAAATATAAATATCAATAAATATAAATATATATATGTAATATATTATATATATTATTATTTATATATTATATTCGCGGTACTTATTAGAAAGCACTCAATATCAGAGATAGAGCTAACATATTTGGTTGGATTGATGTGAGTTTGTGACCCTGGGTTTCACGATTTTGCGATCGCAAATATATATATATATATATATATATATATATATATATGTGTGTGTGTGTGTGTGTGTGTGTGTGTGTGTATGTGTGTGTGTGTGTGTATTTCTGTATTTGTGTATTTAGGCAGCAATCTCGAGTTAATATTCTCGGCTGATACGAAGTGAAAAGACTATATTTAATCCATTGCTAGGTCAGCTGCTAAGAAAGTTGGATCACTGTGTCGTGTGAGACAATTTTTCTCTGGTGCTCCGGTTATTTATCAAGAAATTCTTGGAAAAAACCCAACGAAAAATCAGCAATAATATTGGTCTTGATATGGCATCTCGGCTTCAGTCTCTTTCCCACCGCCATAAAGTTGCTTCCCAGTGGCTTTTTATAAATACTTTCATGGTAATTCTTCGGTTGATTCCTTTCGCTATGGTACCTAGACTTTATGAATGCAAGCACAGTACTAGATTAACAACAAGGACTCATCAATTTGAAGTTGAATTGTCTTGATGTAACCTTAAGTTCTATGCTAACAATTTCTTTTCTTGCACTTGTGGAATTTTCTTCTAGTTCCATGCTTTCCGGCTAACTTTGATCTCCAAATTTTTAAATGCAATGCCGATCGTTGTCCACAGTTTTCCTGATTACTCTTCACTGTTCTTCAGAATGTTTTCTATTTTACAATTCTTTTACGACTAGTAACTTCATTTACTACTTTCCTTGAGGTGAATTCGATTTAAAAAAGACCACTGACAAGGTACTGTGGTTATACTTTTTATTCAATGTTTCTTGTGTTTGTAGAAGTGTTTTTTTTTCCTGGACATAAATTGTACAAAAACTGTCAGAATGTTCTACACATCCGAGCAATTTGGTCTATGTTTTTAGGCAGAGAATAGGTGATTTTTTTCTTACGCCCACCAGAAGTAAATGCTTCATATCTTTTATGTTTTTTTTATTGTAAAGTGAATAATTTCCAGTAAGTGTATCTCATCATATATCATGTCTGAGTGAAGTAACCGTGTCTATTTTCCGTAAACGCCATCTTTCCTTGTCATGACAATCGTTTACACGAGTAAAACTTCGTTATTTAACAAACACTGAAAGTTTACTGGTGAAATATGTATTGATCTACTGAAAAGTTGTTAATTTTCATTTCGTTGTAATATACATTTTCTTTCATCTTCTTTTTTTTTTATATTGAATAATTATTATATTAAAACTAGACAAAATTACCAGTCAACTGATTTGTCATTATTAGGCATTTGACGTTCTATCACACCGTTTAACTTAACCACAAATCAACCTGACCTGATATATATATATATATATATATATATATATATATATATAGAGAGAGAGAGAGAGAGAGAGACAGACAGGCAGACAGACTGACAAGATGAAACCCTTTTATACCATAGCTTTTCTTTCCTTGAGGAACTTTATAAATGCAGGTGTAGTAACCTTATACACAGAGTAACGTGCATATATATATATATATATATATATATATATATATATATATATATATATATATGGACACACTTCTCCGACAGGAATCGAACCTGTAACCCCAATGGGAACCATCATTTGATTTTGAGGCCAACCATCCAGCCACAAAGAAGCGTCTGGTTAGCAAAGTCCAAAATACTGTTTATAAACACCGAATCTATATATATATATATATATATATAAATATAATTATTATTTATAAAAAAATTATAACATAAGTATGCTATAAAATCACTACAAAAATAGCCATTTTGTTTCAACACACTCGGTGTCTTATCAAGTGATGATGCTGAAGATAGAATAAATGGTTTTAAAAGTTTCAAATTAATTAACGATCCTACACTGGGGGAAACATTGCTACAAAAGCTAGAATAACTAGCAAGTGTGCCTTCGTTTGTCTAGATTCAGATAGTGTAGGATTGTGTAGAGATGATGGATTATTAGTTGTTAAAAACTCCACTAAAATTAAGGTAGACCGTATTAGGAAAATGATCCATAGGGTATTTAAGGATTTAGGTCTTAGGACAATAGTTACAACTAATGTTAGACAAGTGGATTTTCTAGATGTCACCCTAGACCTTGCTAACAACACTTTCCAACCATATGTGAAGGTTAATTCCAACCCAATATACGTGCATCCAAATTCCAACCATCCCCCTTCAGTTATCAAACACATACCCTCTTCCATTGGATTTAGAATTAGTGTTAACTCTTATAACAAGGATGTTTTTAATAAACATCGTGATTTTTACAATTCTGCACTCAAAAATAGTGGATACAAAAATACCACTATTCAATATAAAAACCCTGTTAATTGCAACCATAATAAGTTACATTGGTAGCACCATGAAAACATTCAAGGAACGCTGGCGGGGGCATATGCAATACTTTAATCACAGTGAATATAGGTACATGACTTTATTATCCAAGTATTTTTGGAATCTAAAAGATAAGAACAAAACACCTACGGTTAAATGGAGTTTGGTTAAGAAAGCTCGTACATGTAACTCCCTATATGCCCCATGTTACCTATACCTTAACGAATAATTTGAAATTATTAGATTTAAAAAACAAGGCTGATCTCTTAAATCAAAGATATGAACTTACAGTTAATTGTAAACACCGTTATAAATTTAACTTAGTGTAGGGATCGTATACTTTAAATGATAATGATATGTCGCTGTAATTTTAATAGATTACTATTTTTGTTGCATGATTGTCATACTGACGATATAAGTGTGTATTGTTTACCTACATAGTGTTATTAGTGTTGGTGTATATGTGTATATATTTATTTATGTGTAGGTTAGCGTGTTTGCACTGAGGAATGTGTAGATTTGAATATAAGTGTATTTATATGTGTGTTTTTGGGGGTTTTTTGTATATATATATTTGTGTGTGTATATATATATATATATATATATATATATATATATATATATATATATATAATGTGGGAGGGTATGGTAGATAAGAAGTGAAAAGGTTAAAAAATTGTTGATGTATATGTGTATGTGTGTGTGTATATATGTATGTTTGTGTGTATATATATATATATATATATATATATATATATATATATATATATATATATGAGCACCTCGAGGCGGTATAATGGTTGGCAAGCTTGGTTCGCTAGATCAATTGCGAATTAGTAACGAGTTCGTTCCTCACTGGGTGCGCCCTAATTTCGGCTTTGTGCCACGGTATATATGTATATATATATATATATGTGTGTGTATGTATATGCATGTGTGTATATATATATATATATATATATATATATATATATATATATATATATATATATTGTGTGTGTGTGTATATATATATATATATATATATATATGTATGTGTCCTATTTTATTGTGTATCTAAAATTATATTTACGTTTATTTCTGTTTGTATGAATGTGTTTATATATGTATGTTAGGGTATATGTATATTGGTGTGTGCATGTATTTGGATGTATGTTTATGTATGTATATATATGTGCGTTTATGTATGTATTTGGTTGAATGTCGTTGTATTTATATATATATGTACGTATATATTGATACTTGTTATTATATGTAGGTATATTTATGTATATGCTTATATGTAGATATGTATGTATGTGTATATATATGTATGTTTGTGAATGTATATGTGTGTGTTGACACCTATTATATATGAGATTGTTTGTGTGTATGTGTAGGTATGGAAACTTTGGTATATCATTACTGCCACAGTAGTTAGTCTATGTGTGTATATATGTTCATATATGTATTGGTGCATGTATTTATATTGGGG